ATATATGAATTACATGTGATGAATGAAAGTTTTGTTATTGGAATAAATTAATGAAAATTTTGGTTCAGCGTGAGTTTTTTGAATATGAAAGATTTTCTAGGAAGTATGCTGAGGTTTCTGAGATAAAGACAAGTCAGAGCAGAGTAACCACCTTATGATGGCTAGTTTAAATAATGCCCATGGGAAGTAGTGAAATGGTCAGGTAGAGATGAGTCAATTCGGGTTGTAACACACTTGTGCATGCAAGCAATGCTAGGAATCTCTCTGTATAGCTGTCCTTCTCTCAACTAGCAAAAATGCTTTGTCTTCTCTTCAACAAAATTGGAGAAAAGTTCAGAACAGGTTCTGCCTGGAAGTGAGGGGGGTGGGGGAGAGAAAGAGGGGGTGGGGACAGGGAGGAGAAATGACCCAAACAATGTATGCACATATGAATAAATGAATAAAGAAAAAAAATTTTAAAAATAATGCCCATGGGATTTGTCCTGTAAGGGCAGCTCTAAGTGACTGTTACCAAGCTTATGTCAAAAGAAACATTATCTTGCTATGTTTGTTAGTCAGACTTAGCATACTTTGATCAAAATACCAAACACTAATAACAGAAGCAAGAAATTACTTATTTTGTTCATAGTTTAAGATGTTTCAGTCTATCCTGGTAGGGAGGGCATGGTGTGCCAGAACTGTTAGACTCATGGTAGACAGAAATTAGACCAAAATAACTTACATCATTACAGACAGGAAGCACAATAGAGCACAAAGGACCAGGGAAAGACACAAACCCCAAGGACACATCCTAGTGAGGCCACATCTCCTACTTTTTACCACCTTCCAATAACACCATTATATAAAAAACCCATCAAGGGATTAAACCATTTTTCAGGTCAGAGCCTTCATGATTTAGTTGTCTCTGGTAATGTCCTTGGAGACAAACCCAGAGGTGTGTTTTACTATCTCCCAGGTGTTTCTCAATCCAACCAAGTTGGCAATCAAAATTAACTATCATAGTTTGGGAGTTAGGAGGTGTTTGGAGATTGGGATTGGCTGGTTGGCATATGAAGGGTATGCTGCTGGCCCAGTTCTTTGCAGTTTCTTAAAAATTAGCTAATCCTGGGAAGAACAGTATTTCCATATTCCCTATTCCCCCCAGCAAGGTTTTTAAGATCAAAACAGAATATAATAAAATAAAGTTAAAAGGCTTGATTTTAGTTCTTGGTCAATGTAACACTTGGCAAATAATTTATTTTTCAGTTTTGAACTCCATACTCATATCGTGTAAATAAGTTTTTGTCCTATTTTATTGGATTGTTATTCTCATCAATGAGGATTCATCAAATGAATTTACATTTATGAAAATGCTTTAATGAATATGAACTCAGTATATAAATAGTTTCCTTAAGGATCCTTACATCCATAATGACCTTCTAGCAAATGAAAGAATTCTTTGGGCTACAACTCATTCTTGCTTAACCAAAACTTCTTATTGAGCAGGACATTCCAATTTTCTAAACTTTCTTATCCCTCACTTTGTAATCAATCTGCCCACTCCTTGATCTAAAGAAGTTCTCATAAAATGCCCATAAGACAGAAGAATCTCTCTTCTCATCCTGGTCATTAAAAATGGGAATAATTTGCCTGATATTCTTCTCTTCAGAACATGTATAATTCGTTTTGTTGAACTGTTTGTTACATTATAGTTTGATAAATTGTTACATAATGTTTTGTTTGTCAGCTTCCTATCACTGTGAAGAAAACACCTAAGAAAATATGCTTGTAGGGAAGAAAGGTTTATTTTGGCTCACAATTTCAGAGGTTTCAGTCCATGGCCACCTGACCTCATTGGGTTTGAACCTGGGTGACACGGTACATGATGGTACCAAAGCATAGTGACAGAAGTCCTCACCTCATGGAAATCAGAAAGTGAAAAGAGAAAAAGGAGTCAGGGGTCCCAAAATTCCCTTCAAGGATCCTCCCCCACTGCCTAAATTGCTTCTTGTAGACCCTACCTTTCAAAGGTTCCACCAGCTCCCAATAGACCAAAGGTTGGGGACAAAGTCTTTAGCGTATAAGATTTGGGGAGTCCTTTGATTGAGATCACAGCAAATGGTCTATTATTTTAAGTACTACAAGAAAGATATTTGAGGCCCGAGGAGTGACTCATGGGGTAGAGTGCTTTATCATTAGACCCTGAGTTCCAAACCTTGTACCACCATGAAAAGTTGGAATCTTTTGAGTTCAGTGCCTATAATATAAAAACAAGCACCTGTCATAAATGAGCGACTTAATAGCAGAATTAATGGCACATTTGAAACATGTTTTCATCCTTTAATTTGTACATGTAGTTTCATTCATATTTTTACTAGAGAATAAGTTGTATAATTATTTTAAATAGGTGTAGGAATTTTAATCCACTGGATACATCTAAAGTTACCTTGTTTTAATAAATCAGAGTCAACTTTTATATACAATATAAATCATTTCTTATTCCTAGTTACAATAAAATCTAGCAGTTGGTCTGTATTGACTATGTTGGCACTTGAGTTCAATTCAAGTTTCATTGCTTTAATATATGAAAAAAGAAATAAGAGCACTGTTCAACATAACAAATGTAACAAAAAATAATAACATCATTTAAATATCCTTAAGTACTGTCTTTGAGAAGATTCATATTTCTCATGTCATTTTCCTTCTGACCTTTCTCACCATCTTTGCTTCCAACCAACCAAAAATATTTTTAAATAAAGAAATGTAATAATTTCATAAATTATTTTTTCTAAACAGGCAATTTTTCCATTTTAAATAAATTAATCTTATATTTTAGGAGAGCTAATTGGTGAGCATGTTAATATTTTTTATTAACATAAAGAGAGATAATCAAAGTATTAAGACATAATGATCCAAGCAGAATTTGCTATGAACAAAGCTTTATACTTCTATTGGGAGAGTGAAAGATGTGACATAGATGATAATTACTTGCATTCCCTGAGAAACAAAATCAATTCTGATTAGAAATTTATCCAAAATGAGAATAATCACTAGATGAGTACTTAAGAGATTTTCCTGTGGGTAAAATACTAAAAATTTTGGACATTGATTTTGACAGTTCTTAGATTTCATTATTATATTATCTTGGCTCACAGTTATATTTGGAATCACTGGTTAGCAATTTCAATGACGAATGAGAGCACTGGATTGCATTTAATTTTAAGTGTAAGAGTAACATAAGACCCATAATATGCTAAGATGAAAGGTATATAGATGGATAATTTCATATGCATCTATAAGAGATTAATGGAGCACCCTTGATAAATAGTGGGCATATTTTATAAAATTATATCCAGAGTTAAAAAGGAACTAATATTTTCTCAAAATATCCTCTGAATTGTAAGCAAGGTGGCTTTAAATGTAAAGTTTTAGGTAGATATTTTATTTAAGTTTACTTGATGTATAATTCAACTATTTGTAGAAATTTATAGATGAAAATTAAAATTACTTAGTGTCATGATGGTCTTATATTCTAAAGAAAAAAGTATCCATTCTCTTGGAAACTATGCTAATTGAATTCATCCAGCTTTGATGAAGTGATCCTCTACAACCAATTAAAATGAGAAACTGCAAACAGAATGTGTTAAATAATCTTACTGTAAATCACTGAAGTATGGTATCAAGAGATAGGACACTTATTCACTGTAGGAGCCAGTTTATCATTTCTAGTATACTGTAATAGAAATAATAAACTTTGATAACTAGCATATTTTCTCAAAAAGGTTGTAAGTACTCCAGAATGTTTTTTATCTCTTGAAATTTCTCTTACAACTATACAAATTAAATATAAGTACAATCTAAATTTGCAATATGGAAATATGCAATAGAAGATGTATAAATACTGGAAATACTGATTTCAAGGTACTCAAATGTTTTTAAAATTTTTTTAAAAAAATAAGATAAACAAAATCTCATGCAACTAAGTGGTAGGAGGTTAATACGTTAACACCCAGAGGGAAGATAATGTAGTGTGATCTAGCTCAGAGAAGCCAAAGGGCTTAAGACACTTATAAATAAATACCTTTTGGTTGGCCCTATCTGACTCTATATCCTTATTTCCTAGTGTGCTTCCAGCGCCTAGTCATAGCGTTCCTAAAATATAACTGTGGACATCTGCCCCAGGGTATTTATACTTAGTTTCCTCTGACCTCCTTTCCTCTGAGAAATTACTTAAGTACCATTACCTCAGTTAAACTTTGTCTATCTACCCTATTCAAAATCTTCTTCCTCTTCAACTCTGTGTGATTCAGTTTTCTGCATTGTAATTTCTATCATATTATTCACTTTACTTACTTGTACTTTTTATTGTCTCCCTCTGTTCTAGCATTAGCCCCAATAAAGATAAGGAGTATTTGTTCAGCTAGTTAAATGCTCTATCTTTATGTCAAGAAGTGTTGCCTGATAAATATTTTTTGAACAAATCTAGGCCTTTGTACTTTCTATCCAAAAGTCATGTAATATTTAATCAAATACTGGTAAATATATCTCAATTTGTAACAAATTGGATATGAGACAGGAGGAAAACCAGAGTGCATTTGTCATGGGTTCAGTTACTTATTTTGACCAGATAACAGATGCTATTTTACATTTGTTTTAATGTGCCAGGAATTATTTTAACTGTTTCACATACATTTTTTAAATATGCCTTTCAACAACCCTATGGAACGGGTAGTATTATTGGCTCCATTTTTTAGTTGAGGAAACTGTAGATGCTAAATAAAGTTGGCTTTCATTGTGTAATTCATGTGCAGGATGGCAAGAGTCCTACTAGAACAGCTGGTTCCAGAAACCATACTCTCAGCCAAAGGCTCTTGATTAAAATGCTGCTGCATTGTTTCTTTGAATAGCTTCATTTATATTTTTCTGTTCATCTTTCTTTAGTTAAAACATTTGAAGCCATTATTGCTCTTCAGCTACTGTGGTTTGAAATCATTTAATTGTTTTCTTTCTCCTTCTTGCAGTGGGATGCCATCACTGAAATGGATGAGCACAACAGGCCCATTCACACTTACCAGGTCTGCAATGTCATGGAAACAAACCAAAACAACTGGCTTCGTACAAACTGGATCTCCCGTGATGCAGCTCAGAAAATTTATGTGGAGATGAAGTTCACACTGAGGGATTGTAATAGCATCCCATGGGTCTTGGGGACTTGCAAAGAAACATTTAATCTGTATTATATGGAATCCGATGAGTCACACGGAATTAAATTTAAGCCAAGCCAGTATATAAAAATCGACACAATTGCTGCTGATGAGAGTTTTACCCAAATGGATTTGGGTGATCGCATTCTCAAACTTAACACTGAAATTCGTGAAGTGGGGCCAGTAGAAAGGAAAGGATTTTACCTGGCTTTTCAAGACATTGGGGCATGCATTGCCCTCGTGTCAGTCCGTGTTTTCTATAAAAAGTGCCCCTTCACTGTTCGAAACTTGGCCATGTTTCCTGATACCATCCAAGGGTTGATTCTTCCTCCTTGGTTGAAGTTCGGGGCTCTTGTGTGAAGAGTGCAGAGGAGCGGGATACCCCAAAGCTTTACTGTGGAGCGGATGGAGATTGGCTAGTTCCCCTTGGAAGGTGTATCTGCAGTACCGGATATGAAGAAATTGAGGGTTCTTGCCATGGTAAGCAACAGACATTTAAATCATGTGTTTTGCATTTAAGAGATTTCTTTTTCTCAGCCTGGAACCGTGTATAATATTGCTTTCAGTGAAAGTGTTAAACACTATGAACTGATGCCTTCACTTAACTTCTTTTTTATAAAAGAAAAAATGAACAGCAGCAACAAAAAGCAATGGAAATTGTGATAGGAATTTGCCCGATGTTCAAGTTTAGAGAGAATATGGACAGTTACAAATAATCCTTTTGTTCATATTCAATTGTAATAATTAAATAGTAGCTAAAAGGGGTTATATGTAAACAAGTGGGAAATTCGTGTATGTTTTATTTCAAAACACATGCCATTTTATACAGGTGCAATGTTTGGTGATTGAGTACTGACCTTATCAGAGCTTAATTTATCCTTTGCTACTATTGGCTACAACTTCCTGACATATAACATATTAGCTTTTTTATTTTAATAATAGTGTTTGTGTAAGATGCAGTTATCAAGAACTGTTAATACCAGGTACTGCTGAAGTTTAGAACTATACTTATCACATTGTTATAGCAATGAAATACCTATAAGTTTTTAAGATGATGCACGATTCTTTTTATGTGAATCATGTTGTGTGAACTATTAATCCAACAAATGTATACATTTAAAACTTTTTACATACCCTTTATAGAGATCATCTATTCAAATGTGTTTGAAATTAAGACTTAATCAAAACAAAAATATAGAAATAAAGTTATCTCTTGGTAAATAACAGCATACTAGATATCTTTTCCTTCTCAATGGTAAGTTATTTATAGAGATTTTTTTTCCTATGGCAGCATGTTGAATTTGTTGACTTCGCTGGTGATGTTATAGTCACAGTCATGAGAAAAGATAAGAATAAATAAGGGAAATACATGCATATAAGGGTTTTGGGTAATGTAGCTGAACTTTTCAAGGTTTGATATATTTGTAAAACATTTGGGTTTTTTACACTTGGAATGTTCACTAGAGCCTGAGGTGATGATGATCATTTTTCATACTGACGAATGTTAATATTAGCATGAGAGGCTTGTGGTATATATTTTATAAGGCATGAACCTGATTTCTTCTACTATTTGATCATAAGATGTTTCATTCAAGTTTATCAGCACAAAGAGTCCTTGCTCTCATTTCCTATGTGGAGAATAGGTTTCTCTCTATTTTCCTCCCCTCCCCTCCCCACCACCTGGTCTATACTTTATCCTGTTATTCTAAAATAAATCCTTACTAAAACTTTTTTTTAAAGTTTATGAATGTAGGTTGAATCTCATATTTTTATATTCACCTACAACAAAACTATACAATGGAGCAAAACCAAATCATAAATGATCCAAATGGCTTTATAAAATATTTTATGCTGCAAAATTCAGTAAATAAAAGTTACACAGTTGAATGATTTTCAGTGAGTTTGGGAAGGAATATATAGGAATATATTATATATAGAAGCTATGTGGTTTTGTCACATTTAAAAATTAGTGGAAGTAATAAACATTGATAAAATAAAGTTTTAAAAATATTTAAATAGTTGTTCAATATTCAAAGTATTTATGTGGCTGGTTATTATTAAATATTACTTAAATATTTGTATTTTATGGCATTGATCACAGGACAGAAGTGATTGATCAACCATAATTGCCTAATGTTGATTTCATTTTGTTTTTTTTTTTTGTTTGTATTAATACATGTGCTATGTGAAATTTCAGTCTTATTTATATGCTCTGAAATCTCTTGTTTGACAAGGATGGTTTGGGGCAAATGATAAAAAGCATCAGTTTATCTACAGCTTCTGCTTGTCTGTTTTTGTATCATCTTTCTTATCCTTCATCTGCTTTCGCCAAATGAGGGCATGGACATGGTACAAACGTAGGTCATGTTCTCATACAGGATGGCAGACAGTGGAAGATTTAAGCCTGAATTTTATGCCCATGACTTACTAACTTTGAAATCAGTTTTATTATCCATAAACTAGTGGTTATAATCAAGATAAACACATGTAAAACCCAAAATTTAGCACATATAGTGCCAACTAAATATAATACATTGCTTTTTTAAAACAAAAGGGAAATCAGAGATTTGGAGACTTTTTAAGGACAAGAATTTTGTTTTAAAATATTCAAATACTTAAATATTTAAAAGACTTGCTTGATTCTTTAATGGGCCTTTTTCTTTCCTCTAGTAATACTAAACTTCACATAAATAAATGTCAAATTAATTAAAACTCACATGAAGAAACATATAAAAACATTTGACTAAAACACCTCAAACAGTAATATGACTACATATATAATAGGAAAAGAAAAAAACAGTACCTTTACATTACTTTCTTTTCTTCTGGTTTATTCTCCTGAAACAATTTAGACTGTTGATTGATGATATTTTTTGAGCATCTACTCTCTCTTAATCACTTTGGTCAATGGTAAAAGTTAACATGAATTAGGCCTATATTTCAGTTATCTATTGCCATGAGAAAAAGCAGCACAAAACTCATTGGCTTAAAACCACCACAATTTATTTATTTGTCATTGTAGTTCTGCTTACTGTAGAATAAACAGAACTTACACATGCAGCTAAATTCCACTGGGTGCTTGACCAAAATTGGAATGCTCACTATGCTTTCTCATCTTCATGGCCTTTATCTAGCTGACCTCTCATTCTTTAAGAATCTAATTCAAAGTTTTCTACAATAGGGAAAGGAAAGGAAGTGAATCGGGAAGGGAAAGACTAAGGGAGAGTTTTTCACAATTCACCAGTGTTAAATGACTATGTAAGGAACTGAAAAAGGCAGTGAATATTGGGAAGTATATTGAGGGGGGCACTACTGTGACAGTAAACCACAGTCCACTCTCTGATTTCCCCTGATTAATGTCCCGCCTTCAGATACAAAATACATATGCTCCCACTATCATGACATCATGTTGAAACTTCATAGCTTGACCTGAAAAACGAAGAACTTGAAAGGTGAGATATTGTTCCTTACACACACACATGCATGAAACAGGGTCAGAGTAATTGAAAAACATTCTTTCATTCTAAATGTAGGAAAACACAGCAGTCACTGATCCATTTTGACTCTGAAATTCAGGTAGGTGTTTTCAGGATGCCATACCACAATGGCAGGGAACGTTCTCTGATTGGAGCCCAGCTCAGCTTCTTGGGATTGGCTTTCCATAGCTTTGGTTCCATTCTTGGTCTCCAGGTTCCCCCCACCTTTTTTTTTGGAAGAATTGCCAGTTATGAGTTTCAACAATTATCCTCAAACTTCCTGTCCTCCAAATTGTCACAATGTCCTCACCAGTTGTTCCTCAGTATAAATCATGAGCTGACCTTTCCTTATCCCTAAGACCAACTTCCTTATTGCTCTCCCAGTCTCCCCACCATCCTTCCAGTCTTCACTTTCTGTTCACCTCAAAGCCAATGCCTCAGGGTTTAGTTTCCTGTTATGGCAGCACGCTATATAGTGTACAAATTATTTGCTAGTTTTATAACTTCAGAATAATTCATGAGTTTTCCACATCTCTTTCTTTTTTTCATATTTCATCTAGCTGCATATTGCTCTGTCTTTCTTTTTCTGTGATGGGATTTCATTCAACTTTTAAGATGTAGCACAAATGTCTTGTATCAGGGTTCTGGCAAAGTTAATCTTCTCTCCTGTGTATTATAGTTTTTACTAATTATGTTCTGTTTCACCAGGGCTGTCAGATAAAACAGGCATATTTAAAAGTCACGAGTATAGTCAAGAGTAAGAAACTGACATGAGTGATCCTGAGGCAATGAGAATGGACTCTTCTAGTCACTGTAGAGCTAATGATGTGCCTACAGAGCCTCTGCTTCTCCTCATTTTTGTGAGCAGAAAAGGTACCTCTAGTGGGAGTTGTAATATTTTAGATGTAGAAGGCATAGAAAATAAATATATCCATCGTTTTTTGAATCAGGACACTAAATTACTGAGAATGAAACTTAATTTTCTGAAGTCACACAGTGGTAAGTAACAATACATTGAGACCTGAAGCCTTTGTGTGTTTTTCCTCGCTCTTTTCTTCTATTCTCCCCCTTGCTCACCTCCTCCCTTTCTTTCTGTCTCTTCTGTTTCCTCATTCCAGGCAGCTATGTTCCAATTCTGTTGCTTAAATGTTTCCTGCCTGCCAACCCAAAGGAGAGTAGCTTGTTACTCATTATTAGGCCCCTTTTGCTTTGTGTATATTTTCTATAGTGTAGGCACTTTAAGAAGAGGATTGACCACAGACATTCTTAAATTTAGACTGCTGCCATAAAGAAAAGCTCTGTAGAGCTGTGTGGAACTTTGCTCTTAGATATGGTAAATAAGAAAAATTATAGTGAGACTTTGGAGATTTTCATAATTTGCTTGATGAATTTAAGAACTTTTAGTTTGCTATGTAACAAAAACACAACAGGTGATTTACAATAGAATCAATACATATCTGTGCATACTACCCATATCTACTAATGATGTGTACTTACTTATATTTAAATAATTTATTATAGTAGTCTATCTTAAAAGTTGTATTATTACTGCATATTTGAATTTGTTATCCTTTTCTCTGTAATATTGTTGAGATATCCCTAGGTTCAAACTATAGATGCAGAAATGAGGCACTCTTATTCTTACTGTATCAATCAAATTTAAATGGACAGAAATATTATTTTATGCATATATGTTAAAAATTAAACCAATTGTAAATAATTTAAGTCACTCTATTATACATAATAAGCATTATTTTAATCTTGGCTTAAATAGCAAGCTATTTTTCATAACTATTTAAACCTTTTCCTAATTAAAACTGTCATGCTGGGCCTATTGATGTTAAAGATATAATTATTAATTGTTCTAATTCATTCTACTTAATGCAAATATTTTTCTGAGGGTTTGAATTAAAAATAACTGATTTATAAAGTACTAATTTGCATCAAATAGTCTTTCACTTTATATATATAAGACTATTTTAACATGGTGTAAGAAATAACTGG